ATCCAGGGACTCCAGGATCATGACCTGAGCCGAAGGCAGTCGCTTAACCAACTGAGCCACCCAGGCGCCCATATCTCAATATTTTAAATTAAATCAATGTTCCATGTTAAACTCATTATGATTCTATAAGTGTGTTTTACTTCTGGATCAGTTAGTTCTATTATGATTACATTTACTTTCTTATACAACTTTTTTTTAAAGATTTATTTATTTATTTGAGCGGGGAAGAGGCAGAGGGAGAGGGAGAGAATCTCCAACAGATTCCCCACTGAGCATGGAGCCTGCTGCAGGCACGCAAGCTTGATCCCACGACCCTGAGATCATGACCTCAGCCGAAATCAAGAGTCGGACGCTCAACCGCTCAACCGACTGAGCCACCCAGGTGCCTCTCTTACACGACTTTTTGTTTTTCTCGGAATTAATAATTGTCTCAGTTTTTTGTTTGCCAAATTTTCTGTATTATTATCACTAATTCTTTCAGGAATGTAAAAATGCTGAAACTATTTTCAACACAGTCAAACGTGTCAGATAACTCTATCAGTTTCGCTGGAAACACTCCACTGCAGCACTCCTTCCTTCAGTCCAGGCTGTTCCTCCCTCCCTCTGCTGTATAGCTGTCATCTTGGGATTTCCTTTTGCCTCTTGCCTAGGTTAATCCCATTTCTTAAAACTTCTAGCTTTGTCTTTCTTATTTCAGTAGAGTATATCCTTCAGTAGTGTCCCAGGAAAGGCTGGGAGGGGATGGGTAGTAAATTTTTGATCCTCGCATGCCTGAAAACATCTTTAATTGTCTCTCACACTTGGTCATAAGATTTAGCATAGAATTCTAGATTGAAAATAATTTTCTCTCAGAATTTTGGGAAAGCACCGTTTCACTGTCTTCTAGCAACCAGTGTTAATGTTGAAATATATGAGACTCTTATTACCTATTCTAAGTAATCCATTCCCCTTTCCCTGCTCCCTCCTCACCTATCACCAAGATTTGATCTTTTTATCTCTTGTGTTTAGAAATTTCATGATGATGTGCCATAGTAGCTTTGGTTTTGGTTTTTTCCCTACATTATGTTGGGCACTCAGCAGGTTCTGTCAATCTGGAAACTCATGTCCTGAAGTTATTAGAGATTTTCTTGTAATTTCTTTGATAATTTCCTTCCCTCCATTTCTTCTCTGTTTCTAGAACTCCTTTTAGTCTCATGTTGGACTTTATGAATTCATCTTTTAATGATCTTTTCTCTCTCATTTTCCATTCCTTTTTGTTCTCTTTTCCAGGAGATTCCTCAATTTTACATATTAATACTACTTTATTTATTTTTGCTATTATATTTTTAATTTCCCAGAGCTATTATCCTCTGATTGTTCCTTTTTTGGAGCCTCTTGTCTTTGCTTTATGGATACACAATTATCTCTCAGAGGATTCTTATTGTTTTTTTTAAAACATATTTTCTGCTCTCTCTATTGTCTCTGCTATCCTCTGAGTTTCTCCTTTTCTCTTCCATTTCTATTTGGTGCTGTCTTTCTTGGTGAAGGTTTATCTCAACTATCTGGTGATCCTTTGCTGTCCCTTCATATCTAAGAGTGAGTTACTACAAAGGTATTTGGAAGCTCTGTGTTAACAGGAAGAGTTTTTCCGTTGGTGGGCTTTATTGTAGGATGATAAGGTGGGGACCTATTTGTTTTGTTGGCGGACACTCAAGTATCAGTATCTATAGATCTCCCTTCTGGGATTATTCAATTTTAAGTTTCTCCCAAAATTAAATCTCTGTTCTCCTGCCTAGAGAATATAAACCTTGCTGTCAGCATTCCCAGAGTGAAATCAATAGAGAGGGCTTGGCAAGTTTCATCATTCAGCAGGTAGACATTCATCTGATCTGTTTTCAGTGTGGTATCCTCTTATTCCAGCCTCCCCAGCTATAATCTTTAGCTGTGTCTGGTATCTCAGTCTGGAGCTTTTCTAGTTCAATTTTTTCCCCCCGACAGAATAAACCCCAGGGCTCTGCCAAAGAAATGGAAGGATGGTTGCTTAACTGAGCAGGAGGAGGAAAGGACCTGGTAATTTAACTTCCTATATAAACCTTCAACCAATCCCCCGCTTTTCAGCCCCTCAGATATGTCTGCTGCTGTTGTATTTGCTCCTTCCAATTCTAGTGTTCTGCAATATGAGACTGCTTGCCTTTCATTAGTATATGCCTCTCAAGCATTTGAAATCCAGTTTTCTTAGCTCAGCTTTCCATCTTCCAAAGATTTGTTAATATACCTCATCTGCTCTTGTCTTTCTTATTCTCTTTGTCCTTGTGGGCAGATAACTTTTAAAATATTAACTCACAGGGCGCCTGGGTGGCTCAGTCATTAAGCATCTGCCTTCAGCTCAGGTCGTGATCCCAGGGTCCTGGGATCGAGCCCCACATAGGGCTCCCTGCTCGGCAGGAGGCCTGCTTCTCCCTCTCCCACTCCCCCTGCCTGTGTTCCGTCTCTCTCTGTCAAATAAATAAAATCTTTAAAAAAACGATTAAAAAAATAAAATATTAACTGACTGTCATTTTAGTGATTTTGGGAAGAGGAGAGGGATGAACACATGTGTTTAATCTGTCCATGTATAACAAGAATTGCCAGGATGTCAAGATGCTCACTCTTGGGCGCCTGGGTGGCTCAGTCGGTTAAGCGACTGCCTTCGGCTCAGGTCGTGATCCTGGAGTCCCGGGATCGAGTCCCGCATCGGGCTCCCTGC